TTTTGTTTTACTCAGGATAATGATTTTGAGATTCTTATTGCATACCTCAGTAGTTTGTCCATTTTTACTGCTGAGGAGTATTCCACTGTATAGATATACCACATTTTGTTTATTCATTGCCATTGATGGACATTGTAACCAGACGATTTCTATTATTCATTCATCAAGGGTGACTCCAAATGTGATGTCATTCCTTCTACATTCAAATTCATTTTCCAGTGGTTGAGCAGTCCCTAAGCAATAGCTCAGTGCCTAACACTGCAGCAGTTTCTAGGTTGGCTTGCCAAATTTCCATTGATTCAGTCAATAAGGAGACAAGTCCAATGGATTCAGATAGTTTATTATTTATATAGACAGCAAAAGCAATATCAGCATGGTGTCTACTTCCATCTCCCCAATCCAAAACGATGACACTGAATCAGAGAGGCCAGATGATTGAAACTTCAAGTGGTAGATTACTCTGCCATGGAGGAATATAAATCTAAACCATAGTCACGCAGTTTATCTATTTATTTATTTTTTTTGAGACAGAATCTCACTTTGTTGCCCAGGCTAGAGTGAGTGCCGTGGCGTCAGCCTGGCTCACAGCAACCTCAATCTCCGGGGCTCCAGCAATCCTGCTGCCTCAGCCTCCCGAGTAGCTGGGACTACAGGCATGCGCCACCATGCCCGGCTAATTTTTTGTATATATATTTTTAGTTGGTCAATTAATTTATTTCTATTTTTGGTAGAGACGGGGGTCTCGCTCAGGCTGGTTTCGAACTCCTGACCTTGAGCAATCCGCCCGCCTCGGCCTCCCAAAGTGCTAGGATTACAGGCGTGAGCCACCACGCCCGGCCGAGTCATGCAGTTTTATAGACTTACACAGAAGTCTGCAGCTGTGCCATCAGGGTGAAATGGAATGTTCTGTGCTCAAGTGAAACTAGAGCAATTGGTGAGAAATGACCTTGTAGTAGTTTTCCCCCCCAAAAAAACAGAGATGAGAAACTGCTTTATGGCAGCTTTTACCCGGCTCATCTCCTTTTGCATCAGGAGCAAGCACAGGGCACTCTACCCAAAAGTGGGAAAATAGATGGTGGGGCTCCCTGACTGCAGTCTACATGGCCTGCATCGAAACATGCAAGGTGGCCAGGATGCCATGGCAAGCTGTTCCCTATTCTCATCTGATGCCATAATGAAATCCTAAGTCACATACTGTAACAACGACAAAATGCACTGGCTTGGTAGTCAAGTGACTGGCAGAATCAAAATCAATTTGTGTAATTCACTGAGCTTAAGATTCCGCACATATAAGAGCAGCACCTAAATAAATTCCAAGGTCACTTCTATTTCATTTGAATCAATTCAGATGTGTGACCGAATGATTCTCATTACATTCATGATGCTAGGCAGATATAACCTGATATTCAGGTTTCACCTCAGTAAATCATACAATCTTCCTCAAGTCTTGTAACAAAGCATAGTGAATAGTAACTAAACAAGTAAACTGTTTGGGTTTCTAAGAGTCTAAGGACAACGATGTCCTCCTGGAAAGGTCTACGGGATCTCCTTTTGTCAATTACTGGAAATATAGTGGCAACTGAGAGAGCTGCCTCAGGATATCATCACTCAGGTATACCATATCCCATAATGGTGGCCCATCAGTAAACACGGCTGACATCACTTGCAGCTTCTATTTTAAAGATTTACTGTTCCAGCAATAGCCCCAAAGACCAAAGCTGATCCACACACAGGTCCCACTGGTCCCAGTGAATTATATTACATCACCATGATGAGCCAGTGAAGCACCAAATTCCCTGGGTGATTTAATTCTATCACTGTAATTCACTTTAAGGCAGTTAAGTTTGTCTGGCCAAAAAGTACTATCTGAAAACCCTATTTGAAAATACATAAAGTATGGGAAACATTCAAAAAGGTAAACAAACTTCAGAAGGTTGTTTAAGACACTGTGCTTGAATTTCATAATTTAACCAGTGTGCTAATCAGCTGAGGTGCTGAAGAGAGACTTGTACTGAGACTGCCTTTTGAACAGAATCTCCCAGGTTAAGTCAATACAAATAAATTTACCCTGTTTATATTTGTTCTCAGGAGCTGCTTTTCCAAAAGGTAAGGCCAGCTGACCAAAGCAACTTGTTTCCCCAAGAAGTAGGCACAGCATGTATTTTTACGTTCTCTAAACTTCCTCTTATCTCCTTTTTTCTGCCTTCTTTCTTTACAAACTAAAAGTGTGTGGGCTAAGTGTTTTCTTTGGCATATAGTACTTTAGAAGTATTAATTAGTGGCTGATATTTAGAAAGACATAGTATTTTTTTTTTTTTTTTTTTTGAGACAGAGTCTCACTTTGTTGCCTAGGCTAGAGTGAGTGCCGTGGCGTCAGCCTAGCTCACAGCAACCTCAGACTCCTGGGCTCAAGCGATCCTTCTGTCTCAGCCTCCCAAGTAGCTGGGACTACAGGCATGCGCCACCATGCCCGGCTAATTTTTTTCTATATATATTAGTTGGCCAATTAGTTTCTTTCTATTTATAGTAGAGACGGGGTCTCGCTCTTGCTCAGGCTGGTTTTGAACTCCCGACCTCGAGCAATCCGCCCGCCTCGGCCTCCCAGAGAGCTAGGATTACAGGCGTGAGCCACCGCGCCCGGCCAAGACATAGTATTTTTAAAAAATGGAATTCCTGCTGGGCTTGGTGGCTCATGCCTGTAATTCAAGCACTTCGGGAGGTCGAGGCAGGAAGATCACTTGAGGCCAGGAGTTTCAGACCAGCCTGAGCAACATAGCAAGACCTCATCTCTATTAAAATTAGAAATCTTAGGTGGGCATGGTGGTGCACACCTGAAGTCCCAACTACTCGGCTGAGGCATGAGGATGGCTTGAGCCCAGGAGTTTGAGGTTGCAGTGAACCATGATGATAACACCGCACTCTAGCCCAGGTGACAAAGTGAGACCCTGTCTCAAAAAAAAAAAAAAAAAAAAAAGGACTTCCAGCTTCTCTTGATAAAAACAAAAAACTGCTTTCCTAAATGGCATCAATCAATGCAGGTGAGTAGTTGCCACCCCTGGATAGGTGGGCTAGGTGCTTTCCAGTTCACCAGGTTTCCCACCAACTCTGCTTTACTCATTAATGTACCACTAGTGTTCCCTTTGTGTTTGTCTTTCCTACTCAATAGCTCATGCCTCCTAGCCATTGGGGCCATAACGTGCCAGGCCCTTTAGGAGCCCCAGACTAAGCTGTTATAACTATCCTACTAAGGAGTCAGCCTGGTGAATGAACACACTTTTCTGGAGGCACAGGAATTTTAAGAGCTGAACAATCTCTCAGTCTGATGGAGGAAACTGATAACTATTAATATGGCACAATAAGTTATGTATGACGGAGTAAATAAAGAGAGCAACAGGAGACCAGAGGAGGTGAAGTGAATCATTTTAATCTTGCCATATTGGCCATAAGGGCCTAGGGAAGCTTCTAACCTGGACTTCTGGAGTAAGCTGAAGCCCAAAGGGTAAAAGAGAAATATAAACACAAACGGTTAAGGAAGAGGGAATAACGTGCAATGTGTAGCTGGAAAGAGACAATGAGAGTTCAGATACTCGAAGCAGAGGGTGACAAGAAACAAATAGTGAAAAATGAAGGTTAAAATATAAGTGACGGTCAACTTAACAAGACTCCAGTATGTCAATTTAAATAGTCTGAATTTTATCTTAAGCACAACGAGCCACTGACACATTTTAAGCAAAGGGTAAGTACGCCGAGACTCTGAGAAGCGACTTGTCCAAGGTACACAATTAAGAAAATAACCAGAAAATGAACCAACTCCTAATTAACTAATTCTTAATGAATTAACTAGTTTCCTTTTTCCCATATCTACCGCTGACCCGCCAATTCAAAGGACAAGCAACATGCTTGTAAATCGCCACGGGCTCTGAGGAAATGGCCTAAGCGTTCAACCGGAAGCAAAAACTGAGCGCTGCGCGCGCCACCTAACGGCCAGCTGGAGTGAAGCTAAACCCGGAAAGTCGCAACACCGGAAGGGGACTGGCTACTTCCGGTAATATCGCAAGGGAGCAGAAGCTCAAAGGCCAAGTCTCGAAGATCCGGCGAGTTTGCTTAACGAGCTCGGCTCTGCGACGTCCCATGCCTGCTTTTGCGCAGGCGCGGGGGCTACTGCGCAGGCAAGCGCGTACACAAAAGCGTGCGCGCGCCCGTTCTGCGCCCGGCGTAGCGGTGCTGTTCGGCGGGTAAAGCCTTTGGAGCTGTAACGCAGGCTTTTGTTCTCTGAACTACAACTCCCAGCGTGCCGCGCCCCTCATCTTGGTGCTAGGTGTGGTCTCCCAGGATAGGGTAAAAAGAAACTTAAATGACAATGACGTACCAAAGACGAAAAAAATTGAATACGTTGTTTAAGCGCGTCGTTCACAGAAGCCCCAGTGGCCTAATGGATAAGGCATTGGCCTCCTAAGCCAGGGATTGTGGGTTCGAGTCCCATCTGGGGTGGAATAGCTTTTCGTGTTTAAAATTTTCTATTCCTTTCTTAAAAAACCATAGCAAAATCTGCCAACTTAATTTTACTTTTTCCAAATGAGAAGCATGTATGTGTGGTTTTACTACATGTTGGGGTGCAATTCTCGAGAACCTGCATGTTCTTTTTCCTTCCTCTAAGCCGTAGGTCCCGTAGGGTTTTTGAGAAGTCTGTCAATACGTTGAATTTTGATATCTCTTCTAGAAATCATTACAAAAATATTTTCTCAGCGTGTTCCATATCAAATCCACACTCACTCCCGCTAGGCCCGGTTCTCCAGAGATTCAGCGGTCAGTCACCTGGAGGCGTCTTAAATGACGCAGTCAGGAAAGGACCTCCTTTGTCCTCGCCGGCCTTTCTCCGGGTTTCAGGACACGGTACTCAGTTACATTCGGCCTTCGTTTGCTTTTCTCTTAACTCGTTAGGGCGCCGCTCGGCGTTCGATGAATATGTCTTGGTAAAATAGGGAAGTGAGACGTTCCACTACCCGTCAGTCGACAGGGGGAGCCGGTAGTCTGAGTCAGCCGTACCATTGAGCGCCTGGGCGCGGGGGGGTGGGCCCGCGTGGTGACGGGGTTAGCAGGAGTTTGTCAGGCCCCAGGCTCCAAGGCAGGAAAATGGCGGCCTTAGGGTCACCGGCGCGCACTTTGCGAGGCCTTCTGCGGGAGTTGCGCTACCTGAACGCGGCTACCGGCCGACCCTATCGCGACTGCGCGGCTTATCGGTACCTCGTGAAAGCTTTTCGTGCACATCGGGTACGGAAGCCATGTCCCGGGTGCTCCACGTCCCAGGAAGGGAGTTAGAGTGGGTGTGACGGGGGTGGGGAGCGCTGAGTCTCCTGCATTTCTGAGGCCGACCCTCCACCGAGCCCTGCGCGGACCAGACTCGAGCCGTAGGCCCTGTGCTGTGGCCTACGCCCAGGGGCCGAGCAAGGCCTGGCAGGGCGCAAAGTCGTCCTGGGGACGTCGTTCCTGTCCTCCGGAGGGGTGGAGCCGCCCCGAAGGACTTCATTGGCTGGTCTGTGGCCTGTGCGGAGGGGAAAGTGGGAGGAAAGTGGAATGGAGGAATTGGAGGGGCAAAGAATGAAGATGGGCTTGGTGGAAGGGAGGTGCGCCACTAGATTAAGACACCGCGTCTGTGCAACACTGTTCACCCTTACCCTGGATGAACTATTCTGATAAGCTATTTTTTGAGGCACAAAAAAACTGTAGGAAGGTGAGGAATATTGGGAGCTTCTTGAAGAGCAGGAACTGTTCTATTTATGTTGTAGTCCCCTGCACTTAAGAAAATGGTGCCTTGTAGAGCGGTGCTAGAAACCTGTAACGGGGTTGTACCGTCAGCTAAAGCGTTAGCTTGGTCTATCACCAGAAACATTTTTCACTTCTATAGCATATAAATCTAAACACGCAGGAGGCCATCCCCTGGGAAATACTGTCGTGAAACCCACGCTCCATATTGCCCCTTAAGCAAGAGCCAGTGAAAGATACTTTCATTTTTCAAATGGGGAAGTTGAGGCTCAGGGGCAGTAGAACAATAACTAGAACCTAGATTACCAGGCTACCAAATAGGATTTTTACACTTAATTGCTGCCTTTAGCGTTATGGATCTGGCTTGGAAAGAAGTTGCAACCTATCTCAGAAATAGTAAATGGGAGAGTGCCTAAAGCTTGGGCTTTAGGGAAGGACACCTGGTATCCCTGAGCAATAGGAAAAAGGGACACCCATCATCTTGACTGAATTTCTGAGCCATGGAAGTCAGAATGCAAAATCTTAGAACTAAAATTCACCTAGTTTTTTAAAAATCACAATGTTAGGGATAGGGACTGTGCTAGGAACTTCGGCTAAACATGAAGAATAAGATGCACTTGGTCCTGTCATTTAAGCAGCTTACAGTCCACCTGAGGAGGCCTGTAATGAAGCATTTAGAACAAATAAGTGCTAAAGGTGTAGACAACAGGCGGCAGCGGTAAAAAAGAAGGGGTAGTTAGGGAAAGCTTTCAGGAATAAATTAATTGGGGACCTGAAGGATAAATTGCAGTTAGCAAGTAAATGGGGTTTAGGGATGTTGAAGATCCAGGTATAAAAGCTGCAGAATTCAAAGCCTGGAGAGAGGAGAGGAATTGACTGTTGAGAATGGTTGAGTCTTAGGGTGTGGAGGTAAAGTGAGAAAGAAGAGGTGGTAGGCAGGAATTTAAATTTTATTGTAGGTGTAATGAGAGGCCATTCTAAGATTTGTGAGGAGGTAACATGATTATATTAATAGTTGTGCCTTATGGAAGTAACATTACTCTTGAGAGAGACTTGGTAATGGCTCTGAAATTCCTTGGAAATACATAGAAAATTCATGCTAAAACTTCTAGAAACACCACCCTGTGGAATGCATATGAGGATATGGGGAATAGTTTCTATTCCTTTCTGGCTCAGAGCTAACTCAATGACAGTGTATGCCTATTTTCCCAATCCTTTCCCTAGGGAGAAGGGAGGAACCTCTGCTTTCTCCTTCAGGAAAATGTAGTGTTCAGTGTATTTGGTCTCTTGTTATCTGTGGTTCATTTACTGTGTTCTGTATGCTGCTGACCCTTTCTTTTCTCCTGACGTCTCATGACTCAGGCTCAACCGAATCAAGATCTGTATTCTTGACCGGGCGCGGTGGCTCACGCCTGTAATCCTAGCTCTCTGGGAGGCCGAGACGTGCGGATTGCTCAAGGTCAGGAGTTTGAAACCAGCCTGAGCAAGAGCGAGACCTCGTCTCTACTATAAATAGAAATTAATTGGCCAACTAATATATATATAGAAAAAATTAGCCGGGCATGGTGGCGCATGCCCTTAGTCCCAGCTACTCGGGAGGCTGAGGCAGGAGGATCGCTTGAGCCCAGGAGTTTGAGGTTGCTGTGAGCTAGGCTGACGCCACGGCACTCACTCTAGCCTGGGCAACAGGTGAGACTGTCTCAAAAAAAAAAAAAAAAAAAAAAAAGATCTGTATTCTCCTCTCCTACATTAACCTACAATTCCTGTTTCAAACACTACAGATTTGGGTTTATATAATAGAAATGGATGCCAACCTTTATTAATACGTTGACACTAGTGTCAGTGTGAAAACGTCATGACCTTTTAATTAAAAAGTTAAATTTGGTCAGGTGCAGGGGCTCACACCTATAATCCTAACACTTTGGGAGGCCGAGGTGGGGGGATCACTTGAGGCCAGGAGTTTGAGACCAGCCTGGGCAACATAGTGAGACCTGGTCTCTACAACAAATTAAAAAATTAGCCAGGTAAGTGTAATAGTGTGTGCATGTAGTCCCAGATACTCAGGAGGTTGAGGCAGAAGGATCCTTTGAACCCAGGAGTTTGCTGTGAGCTGTGATGATATCATTGCACTCTAGCCCGGGGCAACAGAGCAAGACTCTCAAAAGAATAAAGTTAAATTTGATTAAAACGCATGAATTCTATGTTTGAACAGCTAATAAGTGCCACGTTCACACCTATGATCTGCAGATCTTAAACCACACATTCTAATTTTCAGATTCTAGTCCTAGATATTCATATAGTGAAGGAAAGGGGATCATATAGGCAGTGGTGCCCAGAAACTAATCCACACTTGGACATGGTTCCTTCACTCATTCAAGGCTATGTACACATCCCTGTCTCACCATTACTTTCTCATAACCTCAGAACACAAAACTAGTTAAGTAAAAGACAGTGTATTGACTCAATCTCAAAATTAAGTATGATGAAAAAACAAAGTTTGGAGTCATTGGGTACTCTAGAATGGATATGGAGTTTCCAGCTTCTTAAAGTCATTAGAATCTGGATTTTTCAGATGGATAAGTAAATTGTGAAAGCAAGTACAGTCATCCCTCAGTATCTTTGGGGAAACTGGTTCCAGAACTCTCCTGCCCACTCCTAGAATATCCAAATCCGAAGATGCTCAAGTCCTTGATGTAAAATGGCATAGTATTTGCACAGAACATAAGCACATCCTTCTGTATACTTTAAATCTCTAGATTACTTACAATACATGATATAATGTAAATGCTGTGTAAATAGTTGATGTATTGTTTAGGAAATAATGACAAGAAAAAAGTTTGTACATGTTCAGTACAGACTCAAACATTCTTGTTTCTTTCTATTTTTGATCTGAGGTTGTTTGAATCCAAGGATGTAGAACCCACAGATACAGAGGGTTGACTGTATAAATATGAATATAAGCATATTTTATATGTAAAGCTTTCATTTGTTACTATTGAAGACAAAGCTAGTATGTTTCAGACAAAATAAGTTTTCAATTTTCATTGAAATAAAAGGTTTGTACTACATTAACCAAAGCCACAGAAACATAAACTAAAGCAGTTCTTCATTTGTTTGAAATGGAGAAAGTTCCATATTATGTTCCTTAGGTGACATTAATGATCATCTCTGCCATTAATGAATCACCGAGCATCTCTGGGCTTTAGTTTCCTCTTTTATAAAATGAAGGAATTGAAACTACATGACTTCTTCCAGTATTCAAATATAGGGACATTCAATGAAACTGCTTTTAAAAATCCTCTGATAAACTAGAGGTCAGCTTTTGTAATAAACAATTATAGAATGGGTTTATAAGTGTATAAGTATACACATATACATGTTTGTAAACTCCTCTGTGCAATTTACTGTCACTCTAGAGAATGCTAGTTTCAACTGTTTCTCTGTGGACCTGTATCTGGGGTGTTAATGGAGTTTCTGACTTGCTACTTCTCCAGGTCACCAGTGAGAAGTTATGCAGAGCCCAACATGAGCTTCATTTCCATGCTGCCACCTACCTCTGCCTCTTGCGCAGCATCCGGGAACACATGGCTCTTCATCAAGAATTTCATGGCAAGGGTGAGCGCTCAGTGGAGGAGTCTGCTGGCTTGGTGGGTCTCAAGTTGCCCCGTCAGCCTGGAGGGAAGGGCTGGGAGCCATGAACATGGAGTTTCCTTGGATGCTGCATTCATATGAGAATTTAATCATTTCTATCAATATGTATTTATCATTAAATTTTTTTTAAAGTTTAGGGGTTTTTTTTTCCTGTAATTCTGTGGACTGCATGGTTCTTGGGAATTAACTGGAGGTTTATTCTTTACTCTCAGTATTTACTGAACTTCTCACACAAGGCTGATTGATGTTCTTTGCTTTTAAAATGTTTAGTGTTTTTATTTTAGAAGTAATACAAGACTTTTGTTTAAGGAATTCAAATGTTATAAAATAAAAGTAAGCCCTCTTTTCTTGTCCCTCATTCCTCCCCTCTTCTGTCCTCATTACCACGTGGTAACCATTACTAACAGTTTGATATGCATCCTTCCAGATATTTCCGATGCATTTACAATTACAAGTAGAAACCTTGTTTTAAAAATATACAAATATGATGTGTTAGGGTCCTGGCAGGAAATAATTGGCACACTCAAATAGGGTTATTTAGGAGAGTTAAAGGGATACATAAAGATTTGGACTGGATTAAGGTCAAGATGGTGATGCTAAGGGACTAACAGCAGTGGGGAGCCCTTGTCTCTGTAGGCCTGACAAGTGCTGGCCCTCAGGTGGAGGAAATGGCCACAGCTCAACTGTAGCCCACAGGGAGGAAGTCCAGGGAGAAGGGGAGGGAATGAGCACACTGACATCTTCTACCTAATTATGTAAAATTATTTTTCCTCTTGAGCTCCTTAACTTGGTAAATGGCTCTACCATACACTTGGCTGATCAAGTCCGAAACTTGGGCTTTGGGCCAGGCGCGGTTGCTCACACCTGTAATCCTAGCACTCTGGGAGGCCGAGGGGGGAGGGTTGCTTGAGCTCAGGAGTTCAGAGACCAGCCTGAGCGAGAGTGAGACCCTGTCTCTACTAAAAATAGAAAAATTAGCTGGGTGTCATGGCCCACATCTGTAGTCCCAGCGACTCACCTGTAGTCCCAGCTACTTGGGAGGCTGAGGCAGGAGGATTGCTTGAGCTCAGGAGTTTGAGGTTGCTGTGAGCTAGGTTGATGCCACTGCACTGTACCCAGGATGACAGAGTGAAACTCTGTCTCAAAAAAAAAAAAAAAAAAAAATTGGGCTTTATTTGGTATTCCTCTTTCCTCATCCTTCACATTCAACCAGTCAGCAATTTCTGCTTCTAATAGCGCTGATAGCCTTCTTGCCCTCTCTATCTCCACTGACCACCCTAGTTCAAGCACTGATAATCTTTTGGCTGAACCACTAAGATAGTTTCCTAAATGGTCCCTTTGCTTCTAATGTCCTTAATTCCTCAAAAATTATTCTGAGAATTGCCAATACTTCTTTATCTGTGGCCCCTTAATGGCATATATGTCAGTTTCTTCTGGTAGATATGTACTACCATGTTTCCCTGAAAATAAGACAGGGTCTTATATTTATTTTTCCTCAAGAAGACACCCTAGGGCTTATTTTCAGGGGATGTGTTATTTTCCCCCTCAAAGCGTCAGCTTGCAGCATGCATAGGATAGCTGGGACCTGACAGGGGGAGCCAACCTTGTTGGTGGGGCTGCCCGCACCTTTATGGTCACCTCTGGGATAGTAGCTATCACGATGGGGCAGATGAGATGGGGTGCTCTTCTTTACTGCTCCGCGATGAAATGCATGGGTTGTGCAGATATGCTGTGTAGCCACGCCCATCACTAGGTCTTATTTTCGGGGTAGGGCAAATGCTTAGAAATCCTGCTAGGGCTTATTTTATGGGTAGGTCTTAATTTCGGGGAAACATGGTATAACCTCTTTTTTTCTGTACTGTAAGGTCCTTAAGAATAAGGTCCACGCCTCATTCATCTTTGTAGTTTCCAGAGCACCTTCCACAGTGATTTACACATAGCATGTATTAAATAAATGTTTTAAAGTGCATAGCTTAGTTAGCTCCACTCCCTAGGAATAGTCTCAACAACAGAACTATTCATAAAGCATTTCTAAACACTATCTCTTTATGAGATTAACATTAAAATAATAGTATTAAGAGATGGGCCAGGGTGTGGTGGCTCACACCTGCAATCCTAGCACTCTGGGAGGCTGAGGCAGGTAGATCGTTTGAGCTCAGGAGTTGGAGACCAGCCTGTGCAAGAGTGAGACCCCGTCTCTACTAAAAATAGAAAGAAATTAGCTGGACAACTAAACATATCTAGAAAAAATTAGCTGGGTATGGTGGTGCATGCCTGTAGTCCCAGCTACTTGGGAGGCTGAGGCAGAAGGATCACTTACGCCCAGGAGTTTGAGGTTGCTGTGAGCTAGGTTGATGCCATGGCACTCTAGCCAAGGCAACAGAGTAAGACTGTGTCTCAAAAATAAAAAAAAAGGTGATATAGCCATTTATTCAATTGAATAAATCAAAAAATTAGAAATATTAAGTATACTTTTATATTTGTTATTAATATCTAAGGATATTTTACTTTAGTAAGAGTTAAGAAAGCAAAAGGATTAGGATAGGTTAATGGTTTGATTTCCTTTGTTGTTACAATATATAATAAATAACATTTTTCAAGAAAGATTTGAGGTAGAAGTGCCTAATGGTAAGAAATACTATGGGTTTTTTTTTTTTTAGACAGAGACTTGCTCTGTTGCCTAGGCTAGAGTGCTGTGGTGTCAGCCTAGCTCATAGCAACCTCAAACTCCTAGGCTGAAGGGATCCTCCTGCCTCAGTCTCCTGAGTAGTTGGGACTACAGGCGTTCGCCACCATGCCTGGCTAATTTTTTCTATTTTTAGTTGTCTGGCTAATTTCCTTCTATTTTTAGTAGAGACAGGGTCTCACTCTTGCTGAGGCTGGTCTCCAACTCCTGACTTCAAGTGATCCTTCTGCCTTGGCCTCTCAGAGTACTAGGATTACAGGTGTGAGCCCCCATGCCTGGCCTATTATGGGTTTTAAGTCATACAGATTTAGGTAGTTTTTTTTTTTTTTGAGACAAGAGTCTTGCTTTGTTGCCCAGGCTAGAGTGAGTGCCATGCCATCAGCCTAGCTTACAGCAACCATAAACTCCTGGGCTCAAGCAATCCTGTCTGTGGCCTCAGCCTCCTGAGTAGCTGGGACTACAGGCATGTGCCACCGTGCCCGGCTAATTTTTTCTATATTAGTTGGCCAATTAATTTCTTTCTATTTATAGTAGAGATGGGGTCTCGCTCTTGCTCAGGTTGGTTTTGAACTCCTGACCTTGAGCAATCCCCCTGCCTTGGCCTCCCAGAGTGCCAGGATTACAGGCATGAGCCACTGTGCCTGGCCCAGATTTAGGTTTTAATCCCACCTTTATAATTTATCTGCTATGTGATATAGGGCAGGTTAGTTGACCAGTGCTTTTTCTCTCTTCTATAAAATGGGAATGCCAACAAGGTGGTTATAATAAATGAAAATAATGTTTATATAAAACATTTGCGTAGTACAAAATGAATGACAGGCAAAAAGAAAATCTTATTGTTTACATTTTTTCTTTGAGACAGCCTCTCTCTTTTTCCTGGGCTGGACTGCTGTGGCGTTAGCCTAGCCCACAGCAACCTCAAACTCCTGGGCTCGAGCGATCCTCCTGTCTCAGCCTCCCGGGTAACTGGTCTACAGGCATGCACCACTATGCCCAGCTAATGTTTTTTCTATTTTTAATTGTTTGGCTAATTTCTTTCTATTTTTCGTAGAGATGGGGTGTTGCTCTTGCTCAGGCTGGTCTCAAACTCCTGAGCTCAAATGATCCTCCCACCTCGGCCTCCCAGAGTGCTAGGATTACAGGCATGAGCCACCACACCCGGCCAAAGTAAAATTTATATATAATAGACTCATTTTAAATGTACAGGTCAATGAATTTTGACAAATGAATGTACTTGTTTAATAACCATCCCAGTAAAGTTAACATTTCCATCACCCCAAAAAGTTCTCTTGTGCCCCTTTGCAGTTTCCCTTCCCCACACCTAATCCCAGGCACTAACTAACCTGCTTGCTGTCACCATAAATTAGTTTGGGTCATTCTAGTATTTTATCCAAATGCAGTCATATAGTATGCACTCTTTTGAGTCTGCTTCTTTTGCTCAGTTTACTGATTTTGAGGTTAGCAAACCATGTTGTTGCTGTATCCATTTTCTGCATTTTTTACTGCCTATTCACTCTCAGTGCACTGCAGCATGGTTTCTGCCTCTCCCCTCTACCAAACTGCCTCACAGGATTACTGCCTCCATTTTCCACTATGCACAGATCTGATCTGGTCACAGTCCTACTTACAACCCTTCAAAGTAAAAGGGACTTCAGGATCTGGTCCTTGCCAAACCCTTTCAGCATCATCTCTACTCTCTCCCTGTAGGGTGACAGTTCAGCCATACTGAAATTCAGTTCTTAGGAGTTGTGGTCTTTATTTCAACATCTGGCTACTCCTTATACATGGAAAACTCTTCTTTGAAGCATGCTGCCCTTCCCTAGCTATTTCCTCTTCATTCTTCAAGATTTCAGGGTAAATTTCACTTTTTCTCTTTTCTTCCTTCAATAAGCATTTATGGATGCCTACTATGTGTTTGACACTGGCTTAGGTGACCTTTTCACTTTTTTTTTTTTTTTTCTTGAGACATAGAGTATCACTCTTGCCCAGCCTAGCTCACAGCAACCTCAAACTCCTTGGCTCAAGCGATCCTCCTGCCTCAGCCTCCCGAGTAGCTGGGACTACAGGCATGCACCACCATGCCCAGCTAATTTTTTCTATATATTTTAGTTGGCCCATTAATTTCTTTCTATTTTTAGTAGAGACAGGGGTCTCATTCTTGCTCAGGCTGGTTTTGAACTCCTGAGCCTTGAGCAATCCGCCCGCCTCGGCCTCCCAGAGTAGACCTTTTCACTCTTAAAAAAAGTAAAAGTGTTCCTTTTCAAGCAACATAGTTTGTATATGCTTTTTAATCCCCCTGTCTTTAATAGACCAGTTAACTGGATCTTTCAGTTTAAGTTTGGCTCTTGCCATTTCTCTTCTCCACAAGCTTCAGATATTAATGCATTTCCTCTTATTTTCACTAGAACTGAGGATGTTTCTGGCTATAAAATAGTTACTAGTATTTTGCT